CTGTGAGGCTATGCAGGGTGGAAATCAAGAGATCTAAAGCCCATCTGGAAATTAATCTGGCATCAGCAATCAAGGATAACAAGAAATGTTTCTATAAGTATGTCAACAGCAAAAGAAAGACCAGGGAGAGCTTCCATCCCCTGCAAGATGCAGGAGGAAACATGGCAATGAGTGACGAGGAAAAGGCTGAGGTGCTTAATGCCTTCTTTGCTTCAGTCTTTAATAACACAACTATTTGTACTGAGGTAATCCAGCCTCCTCGGCCAGAAGACAGAGACTGGGAGAACGACCCCCCCACAATTCAGGAGGAGACAGTCAGTGACCTACTAATTCACACAGACACACACAAGTCTATGAGACCAGATGGGATACATCCGAGGGTGCTGAAGGAGCTGGCTGGGGTGCTCGCCAAGCTGCTTTCCATCATTTACCAGCAGGCCTGGCTGACCGGGGAGGTCCTGACAGATTGGAAATCACCCAAAGTGACACCCATATATAAGAAGGGTCAGAAGGATGATCCAGGAAATTACAGGCCTGTCAGACTGACTTTGGTGACTGGGAAGATGATGGGGCACCTCCTCCTGACACTCCTCTGGTTGTCCCACATGATGCTCAGGCCCAAACAGCATGGGATTATGAAAGACAGGTCCTGCCTGACAAACCTGATTTCCTTCTACAATAGGGTGACCTGCTTATTGGATTAGGATCAGATTGGATTGGATGAGGCTGTGGATGTTGTCTACCTTGACTTTAGTAAGGCTTTTCCCACAGCATTCTCCTGGCAAAACTAGCTGATCATGGCTTGGATGGGCACACACTTCACTGGGTAAAAAACTGTCTGGATGGCCGGGCCCAAAGATTTGTGGTGAACGGAGTTAAATCCAGTTGGCAGCTGGTCATGAGTGGTGTCCCCCAGGGCTCGGTTTTGGGGCCACTCCTGTTTAACATCTTTATTGATGATCTAGACGAGGGGATCGAGTGCACCCTCAGTCAGTTGGCAGATGACCCCAAGTTGGGTGGGAGTGTTGATCTGCTCGAGGGCAGGGAGGCTCTGCAGAGAGACCTGGACAGGCTGGAGCCATGGGCTGAGGCCAACTGCAGGAGTTTCCATAAGGGCAAATGCCGGGGGCTGCCCTTGGGCCACAACAACCCCCAGCAGCGCTACAGGCTTGGGGAGGAGTGGCTGGAGAGCTGCCAGTCAGAGAGGGACCTGGGGGGGTTGATTGACAGCCGGCTGAACAGGAGCCAGCAGTGTGCCCAGGGGGCCAAGAAGGCCAATGGCATCCTGGCTTGTGTCAGCAATAGCGTGGCCAGCAGGGACAGGGAAGGGATCTGACCCCTGTACTCTGCACCGGTGAGGCCGCCCCTCGATTCCTGTGTTCAGTTTTGGGCCCCTCACTACAAAAAGGACATTGAATTACTCCAGCGTGTCCAGAGAAGGGCAACGAAACTGGTGCAGGGTCTGGAGCACAGGTCGTACGGGGAGCGGCTGAGGGAACTGGGGGTGTTTAGTCTGGAGAAGAGGAGGCTGAGGGGAGACCTCATCGCCCTCTACAGCTCCCTGAAAGGAGGTTGCAGAGAGCTGGGGATGAGTCTCTTTAACAAAGTAACAAGTGATAGGACAAGAGGGAATGGCCTCAAGTTGCTCCAGGGAAGGTTTAGACTGGATGTCAGGAAGCATTTCTTTCCAGAAGGGGTTGTTGGGCATTGGAATGGGCTGCCCAGGGAGGTGGTGGAGTCCCCATCCCTGGAGGTGTTTAAGAGTCGGGTTGACATAGCGCTGAGGGATATGGTGTAGTTGAGAATGGTCAGTGTTAGGTTAATGGTTGGACTGGTTGGTTTTCAAGGTCTTTTGCAACCTAGATGATCCTGTGATTCTGTGAAATTAAGTTAAAATGAAATTAAAATTTAGCAACCCATCACCTCAGCAATTTTTATATTTCCACAGTCATTTGCTTGCAAATCATCACAGTTATTACAGCTGTATTAATCAGAAGCAGAAGCTACCTGTGAAACAATAGCAAAAATAGTCCTAGCGCTGATTTGCATGGAGAAAACTTCATAGCTATGCTGGATTTGCACATCCATTTCTATGTCACTGATCTTCCTCCCAGATATGCCAACATTCTTAAACTCAACATAAGGAAATCCATTTTTACAGACAGGAAAGAATACTACAAAATACTTTCTTATAGTTCTATCAGTTACATGGGACTTTCTGCAGTCTAGCAACAGGGAGGAAGGAAGAGGAGAAGGAACAAGGAAGAAAGTTGGTATTATCCTTTAAAAAATTCAAGTTTATCTATAAATCTAGCAAGAAAAATTGGAGAAAATTCAAATATAGTGAATAATAATATGTATTTTGAAAATCTTCATGGGCTCACAGTTTTTCAAACACCTTCCCAGCTACTGTATGAAGACTTTAGTAATTGTGATTTTTGTTGTCATACTGCTACAACAAACAACCAGTAGTTTTCACTATCTGATTACCTTTCAGGGACCTACATAGTTGCCTTCCTGAGAAAAACAGAATATTGTCTGGAATTGACAGAAATAAGAAGAGAATTTACGATATCCTTAAAGTAGGTAAGAATGAAAGAAAGGGTAGGGAAGTAAAACAGCCAATATATGCTAATTTAGACTTAACTGATTCATTTATCATTCCTAATTTTGTGTCCTAGTGTACCTTCTGTTCAGAATTTGATAAATACATCATATATTTTTTTGTAGCTATTCAACTAACATTACACATACAAATACTCCAAAAATACAGCTAACTGCAGAGGCAGATCTGGGCAGATAAAAACAAGCCATACCTCCTACAGAAAGAAATGTCACACTGTTTCCACAAAAGAGCAAGCCTAGCCAGAGGGAAGTCTGTAATATGCAATACATTTTCAAACTGTTGTTAGGTACTAGTATCATGACACAGAAGTACAGGAATTCTTTAATTTAAAAAAAAAAAAAAAAATCAAAACCTCAAAAAAACCCTTGCTAAAAACCCAAAACTTGAAAAGAATTACAGCAATAACAAGTAGATAATATTATCAGACTTGTAGTGTCAAACTAGTTGAGCAATTTTCCAGGTCTCTTTGGGTGTAAATATGGCTGACACCTGAAAACTTTACCTCCCAACTGCTGGTCATTCAACAGTTAGAAATATAATGCACATATAAGCTGATCAGTTGAGTTTTTAACATTCTAATTCCTCACTGAGCTCAGATATGGTTAACATGTCTGATGGTAAAATTGTGTCTATGCAGCACCATGGTGTAACCCTCAGTGGAGTAGAGCTCTGAAAGCATGAAGCTGGATAAGGTCAGTCCTAGGGTAGAATTCAGCTCATACCCTAATTTCAGACATCTACAATGTAGTTGCCATCACGTGAGACCAGCTTCTAACCTTCCACTGAAGTCAATGGAGGTCTAATCAATAGAGCCAACAGAGTCTAGAGAGCAACTACCTTTCAAACTAAATAGCTCTTGAGGCTCTGTTGACTAGGGGTAGGACACAACTTCCAAAACATACTTATCAGTGTGATTTGACATGCCATAGGATATCAAAAATATCTACACAGAACAAGCAGATTTAATGCAGAATGCACAAGACACCAGCATCCTTCTGAAAGGAAGGTGGGATGCTCGAGAGAGACTAAAATGATGCTAGAAACCCATATTCAAGGTTTACAAGGACTCCTGTATTCTACTGTCTATAATCAGCATATGTCTAGCTGAAGATGAAGACACCTCCACTGTGGGTACTAAAAAGGAACTTCTATTTTGGCAGAGAGAATCCGGAACCTGTGTAAGTGGAAAATATATTTTATCACTGACAAAAATTTCAAGCTAATTAAGTAACCAGCACAGTTAATTTTCATAATCTGATATTACAAACTTTTCATTCAAATGAACAGGGAACAGTGTGGTTTTGTTACTTTTAAAAAGCAAATTTTAATAATTTTATTAAGAGTATCATTCATCTAATATTATGAGAGAACTACTAATGAGGTCCCAGCTCCAACAGCAGCTCTTTCTGTAAGCCTCAATAAATTACAGTTTCACTGCCTATTGGCATACCTAATCGAGGATAAGAATTGTTTTAATTTATTTAAAAAAAAAATATTGAAGAAAAAAACCTATGCATACAGCCCACAAATGGAGAATTATCCAATAACTTACATGTTATATATGTCACATTCTTAAATATTTGGATATGTGAGTAAAATATTCCCCAATTATCCAATTTCTCAGCATGACAGTAATAGTTACAGAATAAAGATAATTAATAAGGTCTCGTATCAATTAATTTTTTAAGAGACTTTCAGACAAATCCTCCCTGCTTTACACAACTAGTCAGCTAAATGTAATGACAGTATTACAGATGGAGTGTATAGGATTAGGATGATTTGATGGTCTGGTTAATACACATCTGTTACATGCAGTGTTTAGCCAATATGTATTACTGCGTTTTGTCGTTGCTGTCATTCAGTGCTTCCTGAGCTAAGCAAAGTGCATGACAATAAGCAAAGTTAAATCAATACCTATTTTATAAGGGCAGAAAAAAAAGTATTATTAAACTAGAAGTACAGCTTCAGAGATCTCAGCAATGAGATCTAGAAGTTTTCACTCTGTTTTCGAGGTCACTTAACACTACCAATCATTCAAACCCTACAAAGCTTTCTTTGGCATATGAAATACACTTAACATTTCCTCTTCTCTATAGAAGAAGAAAACCCAGTGATTTAAATACATTTCCTAATGTATATGCTATGCAAGTGACAACCAGAGCTGGAATCTTCTGGGAATACATATAAGGAATTACCATCAGAGGTTTATGATACACCAGTAGTACTTGCATAGTCCTGCTTTTGACTACTGGTACTGACTATTGCCATTTACTTACCTCCTCATCTACAGATCCAAGGAGCTTTCACAAATTTACATCATAAATCTTCCTATACAAGAAATGCATATATTTTCTTTCTTATGCAGTGTACTTACCTAATCCTTTAGGAGTAATTCCACTGCTATCAGCAGGATTAACCACCCAGTAGTAGTATTTCAGCGTGTGCATTAACTGCAGTACTGTTCCTACTCTGCGTATAGTGTTATAGATTGTAGCAGTTCCAATGAATTCAGCTGACAAGTAGGTATACAAAGACAGCTGCACCTGAAGAATGAAATAGTTATCCACACAAACTTAAATTCTGTATTAGTATTCTTAATTTGTAAGGGTTTTTAGGATTACTTTGGACATGACATAAAAAGCTAAAAAATAATTACAACTTTAGTTAGGGCAGGCACTGGACTTTTATGCTTCATCTTTAAGAAAACAATATAATGCAACCACTGAAAAAGGGACTGGGTTTCTAGAAACAGTCTTTTAGTAGAATTATCCAGAACCTTAAGCAAGAAAGTAACTGCTGTTAGAAACTTATAAAAGACATTGGAGAATATAGTTAAGCAGGCTTAATGATCTAAAAAATCTTTACTATTACCATGTTTTAAAACAAAAAAATTAAAAACCTAAGTATTGTGGCATAAAAGAACATTAGTATTTCACTTCATTGTAGGAGAGTCATAACATCATTCAAGTGTACAATTACCTTTGCAGGGGTATGTATCCAGATAGCAGGATTAAAAAGGATGTGATCACATAATTGCTTCAGTAGAGGTGCTCCATGAGACAATCCATCCAAATATTTTGCAAATGACAAAAATTGTTCCAGAACTGCTCTGGTTATATGAACTCTAGATGACTGGGAAAAAATAATCAGAAGAACAAAGATAAACCTTCTTCCTTAATATACTTATAGGAGAAATATGAAGTTATATTTTCACCAGGCTCATCGTTACTAAATACATGCAACTTTATATGTTTTTATGTCACTGAATATGACAGTAAGAAAAAATTATCAGCAACTTATTCTTTCTAATATTATTAATTTCTAATCGTTACATTTAACAGGTTAAAAATAATCATAATCATCAATAACTGAGGTTAAATATATTTTTTTTTCTTTCTTTCTTTGTTTTTATTTTATTATAAACCAGCCAGGATACTACATTTTATAGCACAGTGCCTTGAGAATTTAATCTGAATTCCTTAACTCATTCTTCAGTTAATTATGTGTCTTACTGAAACTGGGTGTTTCAGTATGTGAACACACATTACAGGTAGACTTGCTTTTGCTTCATAAACATAAGTAGGTATTTGAAAGATTTGAGTTCAAGGTTTCCTCAAATCTCAAGACAGTCCTTCAGTTTCATAGCATATGCTGTAAAATCACACCTGAGACCTGCTCCTAACAGGAGTTACCTGCAGTAACATGACATGTGGACTCTGACTTCTTTATATATTAAGTTAACAAAAGTTAATAGGAAAAACCACTAAACATCCTTTCCCTTGCATTCTCTACAAAACGTTCCAATCACTTTTAATGCTGTAAGTACAGTCTGGGACTATGCAGATTTGTTATTTTTAGAAGTGAAGTCCATTTGTCAGTAATACAAGTTCAGCCTGGATGCTGAGTTTCCTTTGGCTTGTACATCACAATTCACAATAAATAGTCTGCAACTAATAAGAACAAAAATGTTATTTTGAAGTCCAAGTCAGAAAAAAAAAAAAGCAAAGGAAAAAAAAAAAAAAAAGCGCCTTTTGTCCTCTCCGAAGTATTTGATCACATGAAAATGAACAACAGATAATTTCCAAATAATATAATTGAGCCTGGCTAGGAATCAAAAGGATTTTTTCCTGCCATGTGTGCCAATTGAATATAAGCATATACTGAAAAAACAAAATGCATCTTTTTGAAAAACTGCAGCTTAGGAGAATATAGCATAAAACCCCCAGAAAACGGCATATGCTGTAAGAATTATGTTGTGACAGAAATCAATCAAAATCCTTTAAATATTCACATACTCTGAGTTTAATGATTGCAGCAGGTGTTAATTAGAATAGTATGCAAACTTTTTTTGAAATTCTATGTACTACATTCTAAATTAATGTATTCAATGTGCATAAACCATAGTGCTCTATTCAAGGGAAAGGGGTGCATACTCAAGAGAAAGTGAGCCCCCATGAGGGCTCACCAGTTTGCCTGTATATAACTTACAGAACTAGAGCTAACAGCTTTGTAAATTCATTCTAGTTATGTCACAGGAAAACAAACAAACAAACAAACAAACAAAAGCCACCTTAGACTAGTTCTCTGACATTCTAAATCACACTTGCTTAGTACAGAAAACACAGAAACAATCAATCTGCTTTTAGGTATTACTTCCGTGAAGGTAAAGCCTTTCTACTATAAGAATTTATTTCCTTCACACAAAATAACGTAGGGAGCAGAATGAGATAAATTATTTATCATTCTTCTTCAAAATTCAGTACATTTTTAAAGGTGAGATTATCATAACTTAATTTTACCATTGGACAACACAAAGCTCTGGTCATAAATTCTTCTCAAATGATTGTTATACTGACCACATGCTAATGAAAAATACAGTAGCAGACATTCAAGAACGTCAAAGACATAAGATTCAATCGTAAGAGTATTACTATTTCAGTACAGCTGACAGTAGTTGGTTTTCAGATTATTAAATCACAGTAACAGGGTTTTGTGAGGGCTTTGGGCCAGGAGGTAGGTAATGTTCCTCAGACAAGCATGTGAACTGAACCTCAGTTTTGTTATAACTGCTCATCATGTCTGAAAACAAGCAAGTAAAAGGAATGCCCCTTGAAACTGTTTCTTTCAGAAATGAATTATTTTAGTGTTTAGCTTGATACAGAGAAATGATTACTTGTTCAAATTGTGGAGTCTTTTTTTCCTTGAATCATGCTTCTTCAAAACACAGAGCAACTACTTCAAAAATTTCAGAACTGAGCCACAGAGGATTAACTTAATTTTTATTAATGTACACAAAAAAAGAAATTTAAACCTGAATTATGATATGACTGTGATGTGCTTGTATAAACTGGGAACAAGTGAACTTTCCTAAATGACAGTTTGGGGGACAGAGAGTGGAGAAACACAAATAAAAATACATTCAAGTACAAGCAGATCTATAGTAAAAACATAAATTAGACAAATAGGATCAATTGTAGAAAAAAAAATTCTTTGAATATTGGCATATAATAAGGAAGATGAAAAGACTCCTGTAGACGATCTGTAAGTTTTTATATCAGAAATATACTTTATTCCAACAGTCCTCTGAATTAAGTGATGGAAAATATGACGACAGTTAAAATACTAAGAACAAAGATAAAAAAAACCCTCCAAACATACCTTTTCAAGGAGGTAGCCAATGACTAGAAAGCCTTTTCCACCAAGCATTTGTTCTTGCATGGCTACTGAACTCTTAAGAAGCTCAACCAAGAAAGCCAATAGGGTAGCACTGCACATAAAAAACAAGCATTTTTTCAGATAACAAATGTAAAAAGTCTGTTACATTATGAATATCCACCAGCTATTAAGCGAACAGAAACAGCCTTAAAGTGGTGACTAATTCCTTGAAATAACGCAAATCTTACTTTTTCTGTTGACAAATTTCTTTAATGATTATTCACATATTACAACTGCAGGAGCGGGAATTCATATTCAAACAGAAGTGAAAAACCATTTTGTCAGCTCTCATGATTTGAACAGGGCTATCCCAGGTTTTAAATATCCAGTCCTGCAGCTTATAGTTCTAGCCAAAGATTTTGCAGTTGGAAGAGGCAGGAGATGATGAGTGGGATACAGCTGATAGTGCTAGAATGATGTAGGAAAGGGCCACGTCAACCATTTTACCATCCAGCCTATCTATGCTAAACAGCAAAATTTGAAGCAACTAGGTATATCATCATTACACACTTTCAGTCCCTAGAGTTACTACTACCACTGAAATGAGGTATAATATGGCTGAACATGCATGTGGGAAATGATGCCCACCACAAACCACAGTGGAACAGCAGAGTGGAGAGCTTCCTTCATACTTTCTCCAAACCCAATATGAGAATAATATCTAGGCCTGACCAAACAAAGGTTGAGAAACACTTTCATCCAGTTAGGAAAGCACAGAGACTCCAGAGGCCACCCAGAAATCACCCAGCAGCACATACCAGCAGTATCTGTAAGTGAGGTGTTCAGAAGGCACAGGAAAGGGGGGGGGAGAAAAGGCTACAGTTTAGAAACAGAAGGTATATGAAAGACTTCAGTGGACAGACTTGGCAAGAAAATGAAACTATGTTATGAAAATCACCAGTGGAAACGTACAACAGATCAGTGCACCAAAGCAAAACCAAAAGTCACAATCGACTCTTGGGTGGTAAGAGAGAAACAAAAATACGCTCATCTGTTGCTGAAAAACCCAGAAGAAAGGCAGAAAGAAAAAATCCCATCACATTTATGACAGAAAGGAAATATATAAAATGATTTTTCAAATATCTCCACAAGGTAGATGACAGAATGCATTATACTACATATAAAAAAAATACATAAAGTCACTGTTCCTTTTCTAAAAATAAAATAGGTGTAACAGTTCCTAGATCTATAGAAAAATATCTTCAACCATGAAAGTTCTCACACAGGTGGTGGGCACAGGCAAGGGTGAAAACTGTGGCTTTTGCAGCTATCAAAAAATGAATTAAAGGAAACGTCCAACCTGCATTTTATAAATTTGAACTTTATTTACAGTATCTAATCAGCTAAAGGTTCACTTGCTCTCCAACTACAATCTTTTACTTTGAAATAAATGTTGAGATTGGTTAATCCATGCCAGCACCAAAAAATAATCAGTGTGCTGAGGGAAACAAGATTTATGCAATTTGGTGAGCAAGGCTGCCATGCGAAAAGTACACAGTGTAGGCAAAGTACATGCTGTGAACATGAAATAGTGCCTTGTCTTGCTTCATTGTTGAATGGTCACAATAATCAGTCTCAAATCACAAAGAGAATGCTTCACAGAGTGTCAGCAGTAAAAGAACACAGATAATATCCATTTATAGTACTCCAAAGCTTTTATCAAAACAGCCTGTCAAGCTGTCACATCAATTTCAAACCAGGTTATATGCATCAATTTTTTCTTACCCTGACTGAAAGTTTCTATTGTATTTGTCATCTAAAATAAGATACTCATCATTTTTGCTACACGACAATCCATAAGAATCTGATGTAAAGGATTGAAGATTTAAATTTAAAAACTTTGGGGTTTTTTTAATTGATTAGGTCCAAGAAAATTCCATATAAATACCCTCTCTGAGTAACCTTATGACTTAGGAGGACAATCAATTATGCATAAGTTAAGAAACAGCATACATCTTTGCAGGATTAGGACCTAAATGACAATAATAAATACTATTAATATTATATTGAAAAGTCAAAAAACATTCTTAAAATGGATTTTAAAAAATTGTTGTACCATGAACATGGCACTAGACTTAAGTTTAAAAGGTTCTACTTCCACTTCTGACAGTGATTTATCAAAAGCCCTTTTCTTTGTATTGCAGTTTATTTGTCCATTCTATAAACTCAGACATAAACTCATGTGCTGGAGTTATTCTTATCTCATATTAATACAACCTCTATGCAATTGTTAGAAATTCTGATAGGACTCTGGATATTAGTTATGAGACATGATGACATCATAACAATAAAGCCTTTTTTCTCCTTTTTAAGAACACATAAAGCACACCAGCCAACTCAGAAATAATCAGTGGCTAGTTAATATTTAACCATGCCACAGAAACAGAAACATACAAGCTGGTTCTATGCAAGAAAGACTGAATCAACAAAGTACTAATTCAGATCCAGATAGAGCCCAAATATCACTTTATAGATATTAATCATCTTTACGTGGGGTATAGTTGAACTAAATAATCCTGTCTGCCCCCATTAGCTCTGCACAGATCTACCTCTGCTGTCACTGCAAAGTAAGGCCAATGTTTCTAGTTCCAGAAAAACATATTAATTCAGCCAGTGACTTTGTGAATGAGCTATGCCTTTTCCTAAATCCAAAATAGCTTTTAGCATCTATCGAACCAGACACAAAGACACCACAAGTCAGCTCTGCAAAGTCAGCTCAGGTCTGCAAACTAACTGTAGCTTCTAATCCTTTTGCATTATCCAAGATTGACACCATAAATAACAGAGTTGACTGTAGCATACAGTAATTCAAATCTCGGGATAGCACACATGAATGCATCATTACACTTTACACCTTCAAACACATAAAAAATTCGAAGTACCAGAAAAAGCAGCAGTTAAGGAGAACCACCTGGCAGTCACATAGAGATACAATGAAGTTTGATGTGAATCTGTATAGGACCACAGTATTAATAGAAATTAGCACCAAAATTAAAAGTTAACTAGCAGTTTGTCCACATCATTGTGCAGGAAATGAAGTAATTAAAACATCTGTAATATTTTAACTGATAGAAAAATTGTAAAATTAAAATAGAAGTCTTTTTAAACATCTCACTGCATGTACAGTACTGAAGCTATTACTACCTGAAGATCAGAGACAGTTTAAAAACAGATTACACGCTTCATCTGATTTTTTTCCAGAAATATTGCTTACACCTCTTTGAGGTAAAACTTTTTTGGAGGAGGAAGGACAGAATGAAACTGCACTAAATAACACAGTGTTGCACAAAACACTGTTTTTACAAGTTGGTCTTACACAATTAATTTATGCTAGAGAGCATTCAACCTGCCTGAAAAGACCCAATAGTTTACAATTCTCAAGTAAGTTTTCTCAACCTCTTCAACTTCTCTTTCCCCACATGTTCAGACTGACCTCAAGCAAACATTTAAAAGTGTGTGTGTACACATATATACAAAAATCCATACTGACATAATGCATCTTTTCACCTTAATATAACATTCTAAGAATTTAGTCTTCTAGGCAACTGACTAATTTAGAGGACTGTATCCAGAATTTTTAACATAATTCTGAGGATAATCAATTTATGTCATTATTTTGGCAGCTGAAAATAAATTAAATCTGAAGATTTTAATATAAATTTTTTTTATCAGCAGAACCAGGTTGCCAAAATTATGCTTTTAAAAAGGTTGCTGTTCAAACAGGGGAAATAATATTGATTAAAAGACTGTCTTCCAAGATGAACAATTTTTCAAACAGAATTTAACAAACTTACCAGTAACTAAAATGCATCGGATTGCTGTAGAGCTCACATTAAACTTGCAAAATTCTGTGCACTGCCATACAAAATTTCTCTCCATTCTTGCCTATTTTCAACTCCCCTAGATACAAAGGCAAATATAAAGGATACTTCAGCCCATTCCTACATCTCCTCTATACCACACCCTGCCTAGAACAGATCAGTCTGTCTGCAGTGCAGCTAAGATACAGATACAAAATGGAAGTATGTATGTCAACCAACACTAAATTAGACAGAATTAGGATTTCTACTGAAAATAGAATTAGTTTCAGGACAAAATTTTTCCAGCAGTTTTCCATTATTGAGAAGTAAAAGAAAAAAGGCTGCAGACCAAAAAATAATGTATTGCCAATGGTTATGATACTCCTTATTCTATAATTAGTATATTGTACAGACAGTAAGTCTCTGGGATACTGTTATGTAAAAAACCTGAAGATCAATTACATTGTTACAGCATCGCCTGATTTTCCTCTTAAACACACATGTCCCTTGTGAAGACTTTTAAGACTTTTTTTTTCTTTTTTTTTTTTTTTTTTTTTTTTTTTTTTTTTTTTTTTTTTTTTTTAATAAATAAAACAGAAACACAGAATTGGTGTTCACAGCATACACTGTCTGACTGGAAGATGTCCTTAAGTATGCTTTCAGGTCTATAAATAATTATTATATTTGTGAAGTTCCTACCTTTATAATACAGACAGTTATTCTTATGACATACACTGTGTTATAAGTTATAAATACCATCTAGCTTATTTAATTCATCTAAATATATAAACAGAACTATTATGTTTCAGTAATGCATCATTATGTTTCAACATTACATTTCGACGTCACAATCTTTGGTCAACACTCATGCAATGTTACTCCTTAAATAAAAAATATACTACAAATATTCACAAAACCAAGGGCTTCTGTAGATAAGTCTTTAAAATTCCAAAACATGACACTTCCTTCTTCATTAAAAATAAGAATAATCACACACATATATAGATACTTCATTTTCCTCGCCCATTTATATCTATGGTAACTTCAAAGAATCTTTTCATATTACGCATAAAAAGAAGCTCACAGTGGAAATCCCAGGATTATAAAGTCTATACGCTATGACAATCATTGAACAAGAAAAAGCCACCTCTGTCAACTTCCAAATTGACTGGAAGTTCCCACTAAGTGAACAATTATTACTGTTTTGTGGAGCTAAAATATAGGACAATTTAGATAAACTCTACTCTTATGA